CCTCACTTACATAGCTACACATCAAAAGCTAACTGCTAAGGATCACTGGAGCCCAAATAATCACTGTGGCTAGGCACAGCAGCTCAGGCCTATAATCCTAACGACTCAGGAAGCAGAGATCAGTTCCCGGACAGTCCAGGACAAAAAGTAACTGAGATTCCATTTAAACCAATAAGCCAGTTATGGTGTATGACAGTAGTTCTGGCTACCCAGGAGGCCACAGGAAGGAGGACTGAGGCCTGAGACTGACCTTCAACAAAAACATTAAGACCCACACACCTGAAAAAAAAAACAAAAACAAAACAAAACCTAGGAGTGTGGCTCAAGTGGCAGAGTTCCTGCTTAGCATGCATGAATCCTAAGTTCAAACCCAGTTGCTACAAAAACTTTTCTTTTAAATCACTATTTTGCAACCACCACAATAAAGGTAGGCTCAAGCAAGAACCATTAACGATGCTGAGTCTAGATGAAATTTTTTATGAGAAGGTTTTCAAAATGTGGTCCTAAGACCAGCAGTATCAACATTGCCTGGGGCTTGTTTTACTGAATCACACATCCAGGAGTGGGGAGTGGTACCCAACTTCTGTGGGGTCTTTTTTATTTTTATTTTTGGAGGGGAGGTATAATATTTTGTTTTGGTGGTACTGATGTTTGAACTCAGGGCCTTAGACATGCTTGGCTGGTGCCAAGGTGAGCTACACCTCCTACCTTTTGTGGCTATTTTTGACTTAGGGTCTCACTTCCTACACGGGCACACATTCATTGACTTAGGCTTTCACTGTTGATAAGATCACAGACACACACCACTATACATCTAGCTTTCCATCATGGTGGTAAGAGTTTCATGAATTTATCTGCCTATGGCTAGCCTGGAACTGCAATCCTCCTACCTTCAACCACTCACCTGAGCTTGAGATGGCAGGCATGTAACACTGAGCGAGATGGAGTCTCGTCAACTTTTTCTTTCTGGTGGCCTCAAATTATGATATTGGCATATTACAGGAGTGAACCATAAGCACCTGCCTCAGCAATCTGTTTTAAGACACACTCAAAGTGATTCTGATGTCCCTCACATTGAATCTGGACGGAGTTCCTAGATTCTGTATTTCCTCTATACTATAGAAGGAAAGTTCCTCTATTTCCTATAAAACCTAGCAAAAACGCTTTGGACACAGTCATCTCAATAAATACTTGCTGGACTTGGCTTGATAATGAATGACAGGGTAGAGAGGACCATAGAGGCAGATGAATACAATAAACTACTTCAGAGGCCACAGCTACAGCACACTGAGTTTCAAAAATGAAGAGGAAACTTACTTTGAAATCAATAAAGTCAGATTCCTCATGAGGTTAATAAAAACACTACTGTCCCAAAAGAGAGCATATCTGATTATAGTTTATTAAGTCACTATCAACTGAAAATATGCTGAAACTTATGCAAGCTCTTAGAATGGTATTTAAAAATTAACTGTTACGTCTGAGAAACTGCACAGCAATTAAAGCGCCATGCTGTGGGTATTACGCAAAATCTGCTTAGGGAGGACAGCAGTCATGTGGCTGAAATGTGGCCCGGGTCTGATGAGGATGGCCAGATTTCAGAAGCATGTCCTCTAGGTGGCATTTCAGGAAACAAGACTCCTACAAGGAGAATGAGCTGATCAATTTGCCTACTGAGTAGAAAATGAAACAAATACATTCATTTCGTGCAACTGTTTTCTACTGTGAGAAGTACTGAAGGTGCTCTGGGATGCAGGATGCCTTCCCGGCCTCACCATATGCCTTTCCTAATTGACACCCTGAAAGATTTCACAAGGAAAGGGTGTTACTTTGGTATTGTTGACTTAAAGGTTATCTTGTCACAGTGAGGCAGAGGAAAATTCATCCTCAAAACTCACCTCCTTACTGACAATCCATGGAGTATGGTCTTGGCAATTAACAATTCCTATCACCTATAGCTGTTCCCTATGTGAGAAGGCTCAGAACTCGCCTTACAAATTGCTCTTTTGAAGATCAAAGGGAAGTGAGTGTGTCTGTGTGTGCTCGGGATGAGACTGTAATTTAATGGAATTTTTAGAGAAGGCTTTTCTGGCAGTGTTTGGATGACAGCCCCAGGGCGGAGGATTCAGGAGAGCTTGGCCACTCTTCCCTTTGGAGCTTCTTCCCTGCCTTTAATTGGCACCTCATTAGAAATTAATGAAAATGACATCCTCTGTTCTTCCTGCTCTAGGCATCGAATGCTACAAAAAGGCCCCATCACAATTCATAACACATTCAATTTATATAGCAATAGCTCTTAAGCATTATTTATGAGATGTGAATTTCTTGTCAGCAGTTAATAACCTGTATGGAGTGGAAGGGGAATGGAAGAAAAGATTGTGAATGCATATAAAAGAAAGATTTTCTGCGGTGAAGAAGTGTTCTGTTTGAGTTCAAACTACCTTCCTGAGTCTTCACTTTCAGTAGTAAATTACTGTGTTTTAACCCTCTAAAACCTTTCAGGGCAGCTAAGTATCCCTCTAACACTCCATGAATCCTCAAGGAAATAACGGTACAACTTACCCTTTCCAACAAGGCAGACAGGAGTGAGGAACACAAAAGCTATTTGTCAAAGAAAGTCCCGAAAATATAAGTTCCCATTGCTGTCCTTCATCTTTTAAAGTGTGACAGGGCGGCACCATCATTTTTCTAGGCATATGGTGAAAGACTCTCAGTGAGCCAAACTCCTAACTCTGTAGCAGGGCTTCATGTGAAGGTATTACAACAAACTCAGGGCTTTCTTCCTCAACAGAAAAGTCAAATCTTTCTCTATTTGCACCTTCAGAATTGCACAAGGTAAGGGAGTATATGTTAGATAAGTAGGAAAAAAAAATGTAAGTCTGTGCCAAGACCAGTAGACATTTAGCTCAGAATCCAAAGGAGGCCATGGTAGATCTACGGCCAAGCTGGTTTTGTTGAGGGCATGGGGTATTGTCTAACAACGATTTCTTGATTTTAGCTGGGTGCTAACACCTTAGGAAATGGGTTAGTTTGCATCAAAGCTGAAAGGTAAACTAGGAGATGTGTTACATTACTTCTGGATTACACACTACATTGTGAATTCTCACTGCTTGCCTAACAAGAGAAGAAGCATTCATCACTGCCAGAGGCAAGATAGCACATTTGGTGGACCAAATGCTTCATCTGCTATGGCAAATCCTGTGTAATACTGAGGCTTCAGTTACTTACAAGAAGAAAACAGGAATGTAGATACTGAAAAATCTGACCATTTGAACTGAGGAACCACCAAAGACAAGAATTTGCAAGCCTCAAAGAACTGGAACCCCTCCCCCCCCTGCTCCGCCCCTTTTTTTTGGTCATGGAGCTTTAACTCAGGGCCTGGGCACTATTCCTGAGCTTTTACGCTCAAGGCTAGCATTCTACCAATTTGAGTCACAGTGCTACCTCCAGTTTTCTGGTAGTTAATTGGAGATAAAAGACTTACAGACTTTTTATCTCATTGACTGGCTTCGAACTGTGATCCTCGGATCTCAACCTTCTGAGTATGAGGAAAAACTCTTTCTTAGCTTCCTTGGCAAATTACAGTAACATGTCTTTGCTCTGCTTCACCAAGAACTTTAAAATTTTCTAAAATTCTCTTAGGGTTGAGCTAGAATAAGGTGCCAGAGCTGAGTGCTAGTGGCTCATGCCTATAATCTTAGGAACTCATGAGCCTGAAATCTAAGAATTGTGGTTTTAAGGCAGCTGGAGCAGGAAAGTCCATGAGACTTGATCTCTAATTAATCACCAAAAAGCTGGAATTGGAGCTGTGGCTAAAGTGGTAGAACATTAGCCTTGCACAAAAAAGCTCAGAGATAGTACCCAAGCCCTGAGTTTAAGCCCTAGGATTGGCACACACAAAAAATAATGAGGCACTGGCCCCCATACTACTCCATGTATACAGACGCAACTAGAATCTGCCAGCTCTGCTGACAGCCTCTGTTCCCACCCCTCATGTCAGTCCCTTCTTAACATCCTTCTGAAGCTTGAATGAATGCCCTAGAGGAAATGCTTCTCTGACCTCCACTGCATCTGTTCCTGCAGCTGAACCTGAACTCTTATCCTGGTGGTGCCACACAGCAGTGTGTGACAAAGAGACTGGTGCTCATGCTGGGAAGATGCTACAACCTAGTTACCAGGAGTAGCCAGTCCAGCTGCCCTGCCTTGTGATTTCCAAAATTGACAGGTAAATGAGGAGCAACTGACTCAACAAAGACTTCCTCTCCAGAAGACAGATACAGGAAATGAAACTTTATTACGCCAGTAATAGTGCTATTCCATGACTGTTTCAGAGAAGCTAGTTTCACAGAAGTTAGGTCCAGGTTCAAAGGACACTCCACTGACCAATTTAATAATAGAAAGTAAAAAATAGGCCAAGAAAACTAAAATAACATGGGTCCCAAGTTTCACCTCTACGTGATGCAATGCATGTGGTCAAGAGGTAAGGAAGAACTGACCTAAGTTTTGTTCCAGGGCAAGTAAGCACAAAGTAAGCACACTCCTGTGCAGCCATCTTGAGGTGTTATTACACTTGAGAACTGAGTAGGAACAGTTATAATAAGTTATTACAACTGTTAACTCCTCCCATGAATTAAGATTCATAAAAAATTTCCAATCACACTTTAATTTTAAAAGGATATGAAGGGAAATCCCTTATTTATTATAAATAGTAAGAACTCATTTAGAATTAACATCTAAATTTTAGAGTATATGTCACAAAATTTTGCTGGTTTGGTTAATTTGTAAAATCATGAGTGGAAACGAGTTAGTGCGTGAGCAGTAGGGACAGGCTGTGATAATGTAACTTAGAACAGTTGTGGGAGAAAATAAATAAAAGTAAGAACCCAATGCTCCTGGCTTCTCAAGCTCTAACCCCACAGCTTTCAAGAGAGGAACGAAGGGCTTCAGCTACTTTGGGTCCATTTCCAAAGCTGTGTTAGAGTACCATAAGGGAAGAGGCTTACCACAGCGACACGATCCTAATTCCTGCTGCACCAGCTCCAGTTTGGTTTGGCACTGGAAGCACCGACGCCGACTCTTCTGTTTAGACCGGCTGGCTTCCTCAGCCCGTTCAGTCCTCTCCAGTAGTCGTGGCCGCTTCACTGGTGAAGCCTCATTCTCAGACTGTGAATCTGACCAAAAAACACATGTGGGGATCAGGGTTAGTGTTCTGCCTTGCAAGCACAACTGACTAATTACTGCCAATGCTGTCTCCTGGCCAGGCTGCTGCCTCTGTCTGAGAAGGAACTGGCCCATGAGAGCTGGTTTTACTTGTCTGGATTATATTATGCCAACTGTAACAAGCTTGTACCTTTAGAGCAGATTTCTGTAAGTCAGGCCTAGGCCGGAGAAGAAGGTTGAGATGGCTCACAAAAATCAATTCTAAATTATTGTTTTAAAGAAGAGTCTAAGTTTGAAGAAGGAGACATTACAACTGGAAATGAAATCTTCTCTTTGTTGGTACTCATGCTTCATTGGACTCCAGATACTGGAAGTGACTGTATCTAATTTAATTTGATTTATTTTACTTCTTGAGAAAGGCTAGTGAGGAACACACTATATGTAGCTGGGCTGGCCGCAAGCTCTTGAGTTAGCCTTCTGAATGTGAGATTGTAGGTGTGTACCAGCACACCCAGCTCCTAGAGTAGCTTTTTATCAGTAGGCTTAACATAATTCTATACCCCAAACCAGTGTTTGTTTGTTTGTTTTAAATGACGAGTAACCTTGTCTAGTGAACTCACTCAGGTTTCTAGTAAACTCAGAAGAAGGTTCTAATATTGAAAATAAGTCAGCCTTTGTTAAGAGTGAGGAAGTATCATTGCTTGTTCACAAACTAGCACTATGGGGTGGCACCACGACACTAGAGGCTGTGCCACAAGAGGAGGTGGAAGGAGATGTAATATATGATCATTTGTGCCCATAAGAAGCTAAGACACTACAATGCATGTAGTGTTCATGTTATAGGCCTGTTGTAAGTTGCTTTCAAAAGACGGGGTGGCAGTATCTGGAGCTCTATATGCCTACGAAAGCTGGCACTGACAGCATGGCAGGGCTGCCAAGTGGTGTGTGCTAAGTTGCCTCTGGAAAAGAATCTCTATGACAATCTTCAGAGCCTACTACTCCTCACCTCTCCATCACCAGGCCTTAGCCCAGGCCCAAACCACCTCTGCCATCTTGTACAACAGGAGCCTCTTAATTGATCTTCCTGCTCATCTATCTGTCCCCAACTGTCTATTTCCCACATAGCAGCCAAGTGACCCCAAGTTAAACCACAGTATTTCCCAGTTCAAAATCCTCTTGCTCTCCTTTTCTAGGGTGAAAAGCCAAATACTTGCTATGACCCTCAAAAGACTCAGACAATGTACTTTCCTGCATCTCTCTCACAACTCTCAGGCAGCTTTCTCGCTCTGCTCTTTCTCAGCCTCCTTGCCATCCACTACCTCAAGACAATTGCATCTTCTGTTTTCTCTCTCTCCTGTGGACACCATTCATACAGATCTTTGTGGGATTCCATTTCCTGTAAGTCTCTGCCCCACAGTCAAATCATCAATGAAGATTCCTCCTGGATCATCATCTCTAGACCACCCTACCCTCTTTCTCATAGCATTCTCGCTCCTCTTTCCCCACAGCATTTATCCCTTGTGACAGTTAATCTAGAGTATCAATTTGATTGGATTGAGAAATGCCTAGAAGATTAGTGAAGCACACTTCTGAATATGTGAGAGTATTTCCAGAGAGGATTAGATCATAAATGCTCTGATCTAATTAATGCTTTAATCTATTGATGGATTCAAAGTTTGAGCAGACAGACTGTTCAAAGACTGGCTGAAGGAAACAGGTCACTAGAGACATGCCTTGGGACACCCTGGCCCCTTCCTGTAATGACTCCTGCTTCCTGTCTACCATGATGGGGGCTGCTCTGCATCATCATGCCCTCCCCACCATGAGGGAAACACGATGTCTGAAACCTTGAGCACAACAAATCTCTCCTTCCTTCTGTGTGTCTATCATCTGTGTGTACCTTCCATCTGTGTGTCATTGTGACAACTTAAAAACTGGCTACCACATTATCTCCTAGGAGAAAATAAACCCTTGAAGGGCAGAAAATCTCACCTGCTTTTGTTCAATGAGTGCTTGCCCGACCCCACCCCCTACCCCCGCCCCACATAGACATCATTCCTCAACTCAGTATTTCCACAATGAATGCATCTGGTCCTGGGTCTGCTACTTTAAGTACCTTGAGTGAGAAGCAGCAGCATGTTGATACAGAAGGCTATCTGACATCTTTTCCTAGCCCTCCCTCTCTATGAACCAGGACAGTTCACTCATCGCTTCAACCCCACCACGTAGTGCACTGGCATATAGAGACCATGCACCATTCTTGGCAACTGCAAACTTCATTTGTCATCTCATTTAATTCTTGCAGTCCTGTGTGACGTTTCCCCCAATACAAATCAACTAAATAAGGCTTTTGATAAAAACAGCTGAAACTAGGATCAGCCTCTTTCCTACGCTGCTGAGGGAAGAAGCTGTCCGGACCCAGTCTGTGTGGCGACTGAAGTGGCTTGGCACACCAGACCCACCCCCCTTCCTCTACAAGAGGAACAGACAACAATCTAAATGTAAATCATCACAAAGCAGTCGGCCAAAAGGGATTCACCTTGTATGAGCCACACTGGTCTCCTGAGGATTCTTTTAAAAAGACCTGCAATGGCACTGTTTGTATAATAACTTTATTTAGACACGCCAATCCTTTTTTTGTATGTAAGATGGTCCTGGGGCTTGAAACTCAGGGTCTGGGAGCTGTACCTGAGCTTTTTTGTTCAAGGCTAGCCCTCTACCACTAGACACACAGCTCTTTGGTGGTTAATTGGAGTTAAAAGTTTCACAGACATTCCTGACTAGGCTTTCTTCTAACCATGATCTTCAGATTTCAGCCTCCTGAAGTAGCTAGGATTAAAGGTGTGAGCCACCGGCATCTGGTTACACATACTTTGAAAAAATAGTAATGACAGCTGAGTGCCGGTGGCTCACACCTGTAATCCTAGTTATGCAGGAAACAGATCTGAGGGTCACGGTCCAAAGCCTGCCATGAGACTCTTGTCTCCAATTAACCACCAGAAAACTGAAAGTGGCGTTGTGGCTCAAGTGGTAAAGTGTTTGCCTTGAGCTGAAGAGCTCAGGGACAGTGCCCAGGCCCAAAGTTCAAGCCCCACAACTGACAAAAAAAAATTAGTAATAACAAAAATTCTAGAGCCAAAACCCTAACCAATTTGGAGGAGTCTAAATATGAAGTATCCTTACAAAATATTATCCTCCAACCTGGGATGAAAGGTAGTGGACCATCTAAGAGAGAGGTAGCAGAAAATGTCTTTGTTATTAATATTGTTAAAAGCTAGAGGGTCTTTTACATGTATTATATGAAAAAAGAACCATTCCAGGCTTAGAGTTCATATTAAGTGTTCTTTCCATGAGTCTGGCCCAAACTGTCAAATGTACTGTCTACCCATGGCGCACCCACCACTGTCAAGACAAGGTAATTTAATTTCAGTGGCAATAATGCTGAGGAGGAAGGGAGAGAAAAACGAGAGGGCAATGCTACCTACTGTTACTTTCAAATAAGGAAGGGAGCGAGTGATTTTTTTTAACTCTATGATTGGAAAAGAGAATCACATTCACATAAACATAATCATAATCCACCATCAAACAATCTTCTTTGATGGGATTTCCCCAAAATGAGGAGGCTTGTCTAGTTTTGACCTATTTTCCTCTCATTTTTCTAATCAAGACCCTACCTGATTAAAGAGCCTTAAATAAACACCAAAGAAAATCTGCATGGTCCCACAATGAAATTTCCCCTTATCTATTCTACATTAATATAAAGTCTACCACATTATGGGCTGATGGTACACAACAGGCACTGACTATTCCTAAAGTAACAGGTCCCAAAGGAGCTTTCTGGTGCTGCCAACAGCTTCAGGCTTCACTGCGTTGGCTGTCCTCACAGAACCCCACTGAGCACCAGTTGTTCTCCAAGAGTCAACGCCCCAGCATCTGCACAAGCCTTCAACCAAAGGCAGACGAGTATAGGCTCTGCTGCTAAGAGGATCTGTAGTTTTTATTTTCCCTTAGCCCCAAGGAACCGCCTAGACATTAAAAGATTCATAGCTTTTAAGCTTTGGAATATGACACTTACATTTTACTTGGATGGTCTGTATTAGAGGGAGAAATCTTCCAGACCCACCCGGGAAGGTGACTGTGCCATAGGTAGCTTCTTGATGAGGCAAACCATTCTTTGCCATTTTCTCACAAGTCAATTTTGTGTTTTAATTAGAAGCTAATGAAATAAATAGCAGTCTATAGGACCATCATGTCTGTGTAAGAAATTTATATCTCCTCTGTTAATTACTTAATGAAACCTTGTGCCATGGAGTAAGTTTCTTAAATAAGAGAAACAGATGTCCAGGGCCGGGATTGTAATTGCATAATAATGAACTGAATAAATAATTCAACTATTCAATTATAAATTTAATGTCAATTAGAACAAGACAACCAGAAAAAGATCCAAACATGGCTAGCATTAAAGGAATCATCTACTGTTCATACTAGAATAAATTAGATGTTGAGTATTTAAATTTTGCTTACAAATATCACTTACGTTACCTTGAAACCTTTTCTATGTACTAAAATAATTTCAGAAAACATCTAATTAATATACTTTCACCCTCTTAACTTGGGAGGTAAGGGTTAAATGTAGAGAGCAAGGTGAGCAGAAATAATTCTCATATGCAGCTTTAACTGTCAGAAGAAACAAGTCTTTGCAAGGAGCATGCTCATTAGCAGCAGGAGGACTGTAGTGGCAAGCTAGAGACTGTTCCCACCCCAGGAGTTGAGAGTGACTTCTAATTAAGGTCCTTCATAAAGAGCCAACAAAGCAGATTTCTTCCAGTATGCTTTCTCTTGAGAATATAATCTAGTCTGGGTATACCCACACACGCTGCTGCACTCCCAAGCTAGGTTCTTAGCTAGGACCCCTCCCTCTCTACCAAGGTTTAACAGGATGACAAAGATATCATATCACCTCTTCTAAGGAAAATATTAAGAAAAAGTCTTTTATTTGTGTCAGCAACCA